TTTTTTTGTAGTCACTTTCATTAAAGTTTAGTGGATGTCAGAATGAAGTCAGCCCAGGACAGATTTACTTCCTACAACAAAACAAGTTAATCCATATGAAGGATTACAGTCCTCTCTGCTCCATATGGTGTGTCCTAGTCTGACTTGCATCTGATAATAATACTGGATTCTGGCCCCAGAGTCCAACGAAAATGCAATCACCCCCGCATTACCAATGTATTGGGGGAAATATACAGTATCTGTATGCATGCATTTTAAAAACTAAATAACACTTCTGTACCCCATACAAATGTTGGTCTCAATGAACAGCAATAGCTATATACATATAATAAATTACACTTTTAAAAGTACATTAATAAATATTACCCATTATGAAAGCTCAGTCATACCAGAAAAACAGGCTTAGTGTGGTTACAATTAGAAACTGGAATTAATTCAGTTGATTAAAAACAAAACACACCATTTAATTAGTAGAAGACATTAAGTATGTAACATGGAGCTCAAACAATACAAACCAGCTACATTTTTTTAATAACTTAAAAGCATGGAGCATTTCAGCAAATATGGCAAGGACAGATACTGAGGTTTGGTTTTTGTTTTAACTATATTTTGGTCACATGCTGTTTTCTCATTCACTAATCTGGGGATTTTATTATATGAGTAATTTAACTTCACTGCATCTTAAAGGGCTGCACCATGTATTTATGACAGTAAGCTAAAGTAAACTGCCATTGGTGTCTTCTCATTTTACAAATGCCTGTTGCCTGGCTGTCTCTTTTTTTTCAAAATGTTACAAACCCATAACAAGTATGCAGATTAGGACTTCTGACTTTCCTGATCTACATGCTTTTTCTAGCTCAGTGACACATGGCAAATTAGATCTTTCATTAAAAATAAAAACTGGTGATCCTGCCATGAAGGTCCTTGTTGAGAGACTTTCTGTTATGGTATGACAACAGTTGTGCTCCTACCTTGTCACCCTGTCACATGCACACCACAAATAGGTGTGCCCAGACATCACTGGGTCCACCGTAGTCACTATTTCGCCAGGAAGGCGGCTCCATGCTGTTTGACCGGCTTGATGCTGGCTTCCCGGCCAATCAGCATGGACCCAGCTTCCCGGCCAATCAAGAAGCCAGGCAGTGGGTATTTACGCGCTACCCGGCTTCTTGAATGGCCGGGAAGCTGGCTCCATGCTAGAGGAAGTACTGGTATCAGTACTCAGTATTGGCGAGTACCGAAGGGTACATTTCAGTACTCGTACTTGATAGTGAAAGAACAGTATCGGTGCATCCCTACTAATAAGGCAAGGGATGCTAAATTTGGCAGATGGATCTTAGTAATGCAGGCCCCAGAGATATGAGAGGACCTTGTAGCTGTTGTAGTGGTGAGAGCCCCACATTACTGGTGTTTGTTATAGCTGCTGCAGTTCTAAATAAATACCTTCATCCCCTTCTGACAAATACTCAGCATCGCTGAGAATTTCAGGTATATTGGCTCTACGAACTGCACGAAAACAGTGAACAGGAGACAGAACTGTAATGCATGGACAAGACAAGTGTGCCTACATTTCTTAACAATACCAGTTATAATAATACAAGGACTAGAGTAGGTTATAAAATCATTTATTACAAGATGGCTAAAACACAAGTTGCCATTATTTGTCACGTCACAGCAGAAGGCCTGTGAGACACTTCCAGTCTGAGCAAAGTCATTACTGTGACAAGTTTTGATAACTGATGAGCAAAAAGGACACAACGTTCTTATTGTACAACCCCCTTTAGATTTATCAACTGTCAAGGATTTATCCAAACAGTCTATTCAGTTTGTTTTCAAGTAGGTCTTCCACTACCAGGATGTTGGAAAATCTAAATGGGATTGCGTGATCCAGGTTGTGTCGTTGCATGGATCCGTAGACCTGAGATCTACATCCCGCTAAGCTGCGTTCACTTTGACAGGCAACTGTGCATGTTTGTTCATCGTTATGGAGGTGAAGTACAGAGCACATAACAAGTCAACAAAGGCCCGCACATTTTAAGACCAAAAGTGTAGATGTATGCGTTTCTAGCTCCCTGATGTGTGGGCCTGCACTATGGTGCAATGTGCCTTACAGTAACCTCAGTTCATCACAGAGATGAATAGTGGTCCACTGATAGCCAGTGATGGCTGTCAAATGTCAGTGCAGCTCAGCAGGCGATCTGGATCTTCATGTCCATGTAGATCAGGGGTGTCAAACTCAATTTAATTGTGGGCCGCATTAACATTATGGTTGCCCTCAAAGGGCCTGTAAGACTATATAAATGTAATTGCCTCTGCATTCGATTATCATTGGTTTTAGTAATAACTTAATACCCAGATCTGAAAGTAGAAGTCTAGGAAATGGCCTAGTGGGCCGGATTCGGCCCCTGGGCCTTGAGTTTGACACATGTGATGTAGAGCCACTCGTGAAAAGCACAGTCACTTCTACCGTTTACATAACTGGCTTTTCAAGGCGGGACTGGTGATGACACAGATAAAAGGAAGGATATGCGTTACATCCATACCTTCATCATCCGACATGTCCAAAACCTCGTTCATTGTTTCTGGGACATTCATTTTATGTTTTTCAGTCACCATCTGTGAAAGAAAAAAGCAAGAGAAAACATTACATCCCATATTAGACTCGGGCGTTTAATAAGCCAAATATGACAGCAGAGCAGTAACAATGCAGCGGCTTCACATGTTGTGTGTGTATACTCTACAGGCTGCCAAAAATAAAAAATAAACAACAGAACCTCTCCCTGGTGTTTCAGCAGAGTTCTGATGCTAACTCAGAGCATATGCGTTCTAAACCCTTTCTGAGCCTGACATCGATACACCCTATTTATCACTTCAAGGCCTGCATTACATTTTTTGTAACTTGTACAGGTTAAAGCATGGGTTATGTATGTAATCCGTCCTACTAAAATCAAATTATAAACTAGAGCAAACATGTAAGACCCTTCTTGGCTGTCTTGGTAAAGTTTAGTTAAGGGAAACTTTTGCCTGTTCTCCTAACCTTCATTACTGGTTTTGAACAAACTGATAGGACCAGATGGACATCTGGATTTAATGCAACAATCTTTAAAGCTAAGATGCAGGGAAGAAGCCATAGACACAGTTGAAACATAGATACAGAAACAGTTTTAACTTCCAGTGGATTTGTAATTCTTTTCAGCTAGTCTTGTAATCCTGCCAGACAGCACAGCCTGATCCTTTGCCTCTAGTGAGGCAGCAGCAAAGCTTAGTCAAGAATATACCCCCCTGTCTGCTGACTGGACACTAAAGTGGTAGAGGCACACTAATAAGACTACCCCCCTCCCTTGCTCACTTCCCTAGTCATCAGGTTCTCAGCCAGCACATCTGTAATGCAGCAGGGCCTGACTGGCTGTAATTTATCCATTGTGTTGTGTTTAGCACTTGAATGCATTATTAAGATTTAATTGCTGAGTTTAGTGTCACTTTAATGTGTTACCGCAGCTCTATGGGGGCATGGGATAACTTCCTTGCTCTTAACTTATTCTCAAGCCTATGAGCAGGAAAAATCATTTTACAATCCACTGTAAATGTGATTATTGTGTTTTTGAATAAGACACACATACACTGAGTGTATTCTTCAATATATGTTATTAGGCAAATATCTCCCATCCAATGTTCTTGGGAAGATATCTACCAGTCAGACTATGTCTCACCTATCAGCAGCTTTCCCATTAAAAATATTCCATACAGTACAATATAGAGACATAATTAGATGAGTTGACTCACAATTGTCATCAGGGTTTCCTCCGTCACCACTTTCAGTGTATCCACCACTGAAATATAACCCAGTCGGCGAGCTATAGCCAGAGCAGTGTTGCCATTCTGTCGAAAAGTAAAAAAAAAAAAGCCACAACAATGTTTATATAATTAATAGCCAGATAACAAAATTATTATAAGAATGGCTGTATGAGCAGAGATGTATTCTTCTGTATGCATATGGACTGTGGACTTTCCTGTCTCACTTCCCTACCTGCATCATATAGACATTACACAATAACTTTCCCATTGCAGGCAGTGCTCTGATGACATACATTTGGCTGTCACGAATACATAAGGATGTTAGGATTGACAGACAATATCCTGTATGTAGTACATGTATCTAAATTATCTGCATTGGACTCTAGTAGGCAAACAGTGAAATGCAGTAATGACACAAACATTCTACTGCCACAGTGCAAAAGTCTTACAATTCAGAAGATAAATTTAGAGTAGAGGATTTTAAAGTAAATATGTGCTTTGCTAATGCAAGTTCCCGTTTAATGGTAGCCTACTTGCTGTAATACGTTAAGGAGAATTATGGGGAGAGTGAAATACACTCATCTCCATACTTAGAGATGACATGCAAGTTCAAGAACTGAATAATCACAAACCACTGATCATTCAGTTTTCGATCTTCTCACTGAAGAGAGCTATGACTGTCAGTCACCGCTCCCTGCAGGGATTCCCACCTTCTCCTCTCCGTTTCTCCAGCATGACTGAAGGAACAGAGGGGGCAGGGGACGGGTGGGCTATAGAGAGGCAGAGCAAGCTGTCAATCAGGCAGGGGGGTGTATCCTGACAATATTGTCAGGATTTCTCCTGGCCGTAGTGCTGCTCTGCACTGTCAGCATATAGCAGGTAATAGCCCGCTATATCCTGAGTTTTGGGTCACAGGAGGACGTTAGTAAAGGTCCTCCTGTGACCCTGAAGAGAACTTTGGCCAACTTTGGGTCATAATTCTCTTTTAACTTTCCTTTGCTCCCCTGCTCTTAAAATACCCATTAATTTTGGGTATGGGGATCAATGAAATATTTTTTTTTCCGCCTTATGTGGCAGTGCTGGTGCTTGGTGATTAGCTGCTCATGGACCCAGTATTGTGACATGGGAATAAGGAGAGAGTCATCAGCTCCAAGGTGTACCTACTAAGCTGAATGAGCAGAAATAAGCCAGTAAGAGGAGTTATGTGGAGCTTATCTGATATGTAGTGAACCAATTCAAAGAATGTTTTAATAGTTTATAAACTACATCATGTTATCATTTTAACAAATTGAATCTAGTTAAAAATGAACGATTCAGATATCCATAGTAGCAGAATTTTTTCCCCCCTTCCTAACCTGCAACTGAAAAAAAGAAGTCTGGAATCCTGGTATCAGAAGACACTTTTTTTCAATTGTTTTTGGTTTTTGTAAGATATTAGAAACTGTTTATCCACTTACCACTGTGACTTCATTGGGGGAAGCACCATGCTGGAGCAACGCGTTAATGATATGGGTATGTCCTTGCTGAGCAGCCTGATGTAGAGCAGTGTATCCATTCTGAAAAGCAGAAACTCATAATTATCTTAAGTAACTTTGCAAGCCATCAACTGTTTTCAAAGGTAACTGATTTACTAAAGACAAACAGGTTGTTCACTTTGAAGAGGAAGTTTCCCCTTAGTTTAGTGAATGAGGTGAAGATCTGTTGACTTCCATCATCCAATCATGTGCAAGTAAAAATACGGTTTGTTTGTTTTAATCTTCCTTGCGCATGATCAGGTATTCTTTGCAAAGTGAAATTTCACTACAATCACCAAGCTAAGAGAAACTTCCCCTGCAGAGTGCACATTCCTTTGCAACGTGAACAGCCTATTTGCCTTGAGTAAATCAACCCCAATGTGTCAGTGATAGCATAGGTAGTTCAAGCATAAAAATACCCCTAACATAGTAGAGTAGTGGAGGGACCTAACTGAAACTCTAGCCATGTTTTGTTTTCCTTTTTCAGGTTTTACTGTGGTCTTTGGCACCACTGGATGGTTACCTTTAATTTCCTGTCCTGGGTGCCATGTTGTCAATGGAACAGGAAATGAGGAGATTACTGCAGACAGGTGGGCAGCAATGCAAACCCAATCTTCCCCACCCTATCCAAAACTAAAAAAATATTGTAGGTTGGAGATCCACTACGAGCAGGGGTTGTGATTCTAAAGGCTCAACTTAGTAACATTCTGGCATTGATAGCTTGTATACGATAACATTTAATTGTATTCTTTCCATAAATATATGTGCAACTTACTCTGGTTTTGGCATTTACTTTAGCACCGTGCTGCAGCAGGAAATTCACCATTTTAATGTTCCCGTAATGACTTGCCACATGCAAAGGAGTATATCCCATCTGCAATACATCAGGAAAAGACAAGTGGTTAATGCTTAGGGGTGACATGCTTCTGATGATCATTTTGCATTGTAAATATTACAATTAACACAATTAAAATGCATATTGGTTATTTGCTCATAATATTCTTTCCATTTAAATCAACACCATGGCTTACTGATCTCTTGTGAATACATTTTTTTTCAAACTAAATTCTTCTGCTGTTTGGCCAGCTTTACAAAATGTTTAGCACTGACTGGTTCTTTATAACTTGCTTACTGAATATGCCCAAGTGAGTCTATACAGTATACATAATGTCTTACTGGCTTTGTCCATTAAAACACAATTCATCTAATTTATTGTGTGAGGCCCTCTTTTACAATACAAAACTTGATAGTACTGGCCATAACAGGTGTAAGAAGGTAGATTACCTTTGTTGTACCGTCAGTGCCTGCTCCATTATTGGTCAGAACCTGGGCCACCCCCACTCTATCCTCCTGTGCTGCCAGATGAAGAGGCGTGAGCCCACTCTATAATTGCAAATTTAGGAAATATCAGTACACAATACATAGTAAGAAGTGTATAAAATATGATGAAACCACTAAATACAACATTCTAACATGTTTAGCTACTTTTGTTGTAAAGAGAGGGCAGTTGATGAGTTATCCAGCACCATGTATCCAGCACTACTAATATATATTTGTGCTCATGACCCCTGTAAAACATGCTAGTTACAGATGAACTCCGGGGAGAGATAAAACATAATTCAATACAGTTGTGTTTCATTTTAAAAAGTAATGTATTTTTTATATAGCTAGCATAAGTACCTGAATCTGTTGTGATATCAGTCTTGTGTAACCCCTTGCACTTAGACTGGGAAAGGGGGTTACATTAGGTGCCACTCAGTCTCTGCTGGGCAACAGGTTTACCACCTGTGGCAGTGTTGTACCCTGTGCCCCATTAAGGAAATTACCCCTCACTTCCTGATCTAGCGGCTGATACCCATTTATTCCTCTTTAATAAGGTCCCAGGCAGCAATAAAAACCAAACAGAGGTTCTAATTCACCCCATTCTCTATCCAACAAAGACAGGTTTTGGATAGACAACCCATACATCTGTAGTCTACCGTCGATGGAACAATTTTCCTGAGGCTCACAAACTTCAGTATATTCTAGGCTAAAATAACATTTAAGACGTTTTGATTGATGTTCATTTTGTAACATTTCTTTGCCAAGAGCAATAGAAGAGTTGTGCCCCAGGGACCAAAGCTGAATTCAAACTAGATTTCCCTGCTTGATGCAATGACTGGGCCATGGATTTATTCAGCTAAATGTTATTCACTTTGGCTGCCACAGCTGCGTATCTACAGAGATAGGAGACATTTTAGGAAGCCGCAAGCTAATTCTTAGCATTGTTATCTAAAAACGATAGGGTGCCTTGGTACTGAGTCCAAATGTGATGCTGTGTGGGGTCTGTATGTTTTCTCTGTCTCCACATGGCTTCCTTGACCCAAGTTCAAAGACATACTGATAAAATTAGAAGTGTCCATGGACACCCATGTTAAAATAAAATAGACAACAAGCACCTGGGGGAAGGAAGCTATATAAACAAATAAAACTTTCTGAAATGTAGTTCTGCAGCATAAAATGGACCATTATTTGCTCATTTATACATAATTAAACTCTGCCTTCCTTCACAAATTTGATGCTGAACAGGCAGAGAAGAAATGTGATTCGACTATCAACTGCACATCACTGTACTTGCTTCAGAGACAGACATCAGGACTACCAGCAACATGGTTAGCATCTCCTTTGGCCACAGTCAACCATTTCAAAAGCCTATATAAAGAGAAAGACTAATAATGGAAACTATTCACAAATGATCTCATCTCAGTGTCATGCCTTTTAATATAAAATCTGATGTGTGCATGGTTGCACTGCAATCATTCGGATGATTCTGCTGCATTCACAATTAGAGGCTAACCATGTTGCAAGGTATTAGCTGCTATTGCCCTTTATATGCTGACAGCGCAGGACCGCACTGCATTCGGAATGGATCCCAACAATATTGCCGGGATCTACCCAGCTGCCTGATTGACAGCTGGCTCTGCCTCTCTAGAGCCAGCGGTCCCCCCCCCCCTCCATTCGTCCAGTCAGTGGTGGAGGATGGGAGAGGAATCCCTGCAGGGAGCAGTGACTAACAGTAATTGCTCTCTGCAGGATGATCAGGAACTGAGTGATCGGCGGTATGGTATTGCTCAATAGAGCCGGCGCGTGACAGTTTCAGTCTCACACGTCGGCTCACACCATAATTCTCCTTTAATGCTATCTCCCCTGGCTACCTGACTTTGCCTGTTGTCTCTTTGGCCTCTGGGCTAGGTTTGTACTGTTGATATTTGCTTTATTTCCATCTACGGTACTGCCTAAGCTGCTGCTCTACTTTTCTCTGGCTAGCCAGTGCACAACAACATCTGGCAAGCATGCACTGATTGTCATCCGCATGGCAAAGAGGCATCCAAGGGTTGTGACCTGGGAGCATCATACAGCTAAATCTATACTTTTTATGCACTGTTCCTGCTAACCACCACATTCTCCCGAGATTAGGGAGCCCAAGCAGCTCATGCAACCTGATGGTGACCTGAAACACATGGCACGTCATCTGGGAAACAACAAGCAATATACAGTGGATGGAGTAGAAAATGCCTACATTCATATTTACATGCTCAATATTTAGTGTTCTAAAAACACCACATTTCCACCAACAAAGCAATTTAAAGCAGCAGAGTAAGCATTTTAAGGTTTACTGTTTATTTTTACTAGAGTGTACCTTTAAAACCACCTACACATAGTGGCATGTTTAGTGTCACATTGTAGCTGAGGCTGAGAATTTCATTGTGATCATACAACAATCTCCTATAGTTATGCATGCACACATGATAACTGCTGTAATCATTAAATAAAAAAAAAATGATAGTTTCCTCTAAAATTAGGCTTTTGCAAACACATATCAAGGAGAACAGATTGTACCTTGTTGCTAACATGGACATTAGCATTTCTTGTGAGCAGCAATGACACCATGTCCACATGGCCTTCTTGGGCGGCAAGATGAATGGGGGCAATTCCTTGCTTGGTCACTGCATTGGCATCTGCCCCATATTCCAGTAGTGTGGTGGCTATTTCCATCTGGTTTTTCTTTGCAGCAATGTGTAGAGGTGTGTACCCATTCTTTAAAGAAAGAGATATTGGTCATCAACATTTACAAGGTTATTGTACTTATTGGGCAGTGTAAATAAACATTCTGTCAATAATTGATAATAGATCCTGTAAACCTTAAATATTAAGCTTTAAATAAATCGCCTATGCTAGATTGTTAACCTATAACAAAATTAGTCAGTGCTTTCGATTTTCAGTTCTGGGCACTTAGGTTCAATTTCAGCTATGGAAGATATGCGACAGGAGTCAATGTTATCTTAATCTTACATGGATTTCCTTTGGGTATTCTGCTTACCTCTCACAATTCAAAAACCCCTTCTACATTAAAGGCCAACAGTGTCCAAGAATGTGAACAGGGGAGTGATTTAGTAGGCTAGTTGGCCTTAAAAGTTGCCGAAGCTCTAGATTTTACAGACTTAAATGACATAATGTAGAGAAAGCAGTTGCAAAATGATCACCACTGCCTGTGTTTACTGAACATAAATCACATCACTCGGATGTTAAGCAGCAGGGGCCTTGTGTGCTAACTCTACTACATGCTTGATTAAAAGATGAAAATCATATCACAGATCTGAAATCGCTGAATACTGTAATATCAATTCCTGATTGTTTCCTATGTGATCAGGATATACATAAAACCGTGTTAATAAACCATCTACTTGATCCTTCCATTTAAAGGTCAGCCTGAACCTACTCTCAAGTATATCAGATTAGCATGCACCAACTGACAGACCACATTTTATGAATGCCTGATGCCAGATACATTCTAAATATAATATTCACACTATAACTGACAATGACAAGTCAGTAGAGCCTCCTATCCAAATGATGCATTCCAGGTGATAACATGGTAACAATGAAATGTCTCACGATTCCAAAGGAGCAAGCCTACAATGTAAGGTACCGACATGAAGAAAAAAACAATAATTATACATTATAAATGAACCTGAATAATCAACTGTAATTCATCAAAATGATGAATGCTGGCACAAGGTTGGTTATTGTCTTGCCACTCCATGTGAGTCCCTGAGTGGCCAATCACCACAGACCAGTATTGTCACATGGATGGAAGGGAAGTAAGCTGCATGCCTCCCATACCACGAAGTACCAAGTATTTCTCTTAGCTCCTAGCAGCTGAGCATAGCAATAGGCGAGAGAAAGGAAGGTTGAGTATGTGCTGCAGTAGGGCCACCTGTAAAGATGCATGGGCAAACCAACAAATCTGGGATTCAGTAATGACTTGTAAACTCATAGCTGAACCTTGGTACTTGAAATCCTTTGGTTTGAAAGATCCTATGGAATGTGGCCCCAGACAGGTGAAGCTATGCTTGGGGCCTTAAGCCACAAAATAACTCATCCATTTATTTATTGTTAATGTACAGAATATTACTGGATATTGAGTTCTTATAGGTATATTAATCACCAGAGATTGTTTATCCAGGGAATATCCGATTGCCTTATGCGATCAGGAAGAATTTTTTTCCCCCTGTTGGAGCAAAATGAACCACAGGGAGGGGTTCCTCTGGATCAAAAGTGGGTAACAGTGGGTAATTGTGCGCATAGTGTTCTGTTTAGGCTTTTTTTTTTCATATCTCTATAGGTTTAAGACGTGTCTTTTTTCAACCTGACTAACTATGTAACTATGTTACACATCTATAACACATTCCGTAGTAATCCAGGTAGAGACACTGAATTTCCAATTAGCCTCAGCTTCTACAATTAGATATGAAATGATGACTCAGCAACCCGAAATTACTTGCCAAACACAGTCTACAGAAAATTACAACAACAGTTTACTGTATTTACTATAAATGTGGAACAGTGTAATGTAGATCTATGCTAGCACATCTTGCTGTAGTACTTATTCATCATAAAATACAGGGAGTGAATTCTTAGCCATTCATTGTACATTACTAAAATCATTACATGGTGGAAGAAGATTTGATTGCATAACTGTTATGGCATTTCAAGTTATTTACCTTTGCAGCTCCATGAGGGGATGCTCCTTTATCCAACAATAGTAATGCCACTTTCTGGTTATCATAGTGTGCCGCAACATGCAGTGGCGTTAGACCGGTCTAAAAATACATGCAGAAACAACCACTGTTATACTTTAGGTTATGTGAAGGATCTTAACATCCATGTCTGCTTGTTAGTTTATAAAGTAAAATTAGCTATGATGCACTTTCACACTATTACTGGGTAAGTAAGTGTAGATAGCCTGTCACTTGAAATACTGCTGGCACTGCTGGCATTGACACTTTTTAGATTGTTTTTATGAGATTCCACTGAAGCATTTAACCTGGCTTCTTCACCCCAATTGGTTTTGAGATTGCCACTCACACTGCTCTCAATGAGATCACCAGTCTATGTGGTCACACAGCACACAGCACCCCACACTTATACATTATAAATTACTGTATAGTACATAATTGAAAGGAAACGTTATTTTGTTTAGCACATGTATGCTTATATAGGACGCCTATTTTTAAGGGGAATTTATAATAGTTTTGTACATATATTCTTTATTTATTATGGTCAGGACTAAAAAAGGTTACACATATTATTATTTAAATCAGATGAATAGGAAATGCTGCTTAAAATATTTAGCATCCATCTTTTGAGCAAGGAGATGAAACTTTAAAGTGAATCTGTGCTTTGCAAGGTTCACTTTATTACAGATGTCCACAGAAGCATATACTTGGCTTTCTTTCTCTCCACAACTGCTGAGAGTAAAAGCAAATCTACAAGTTACCGTAGTTATAGCCCACACATAGCTATGGACTCTTCTGTGACAGCACTTATTGGCCCAGTGCGGTCACATGGTTTTATCACATGTTCCTAATTACCAGGAAGTTTTTTTTCTTCTTAGGATCCAATTGCTAAATGGAGGAGTGAGAGAATAAAGAAAAGGTATTTGCTGCTGGGAAAGGGGGCGCTAAAAGAAACCTGTTGCCTTGCCCTAAATAGTCAAAGCACAGGTTTGCTTCTTTAAGCAACTTCTACGTATTTACAAGTTGTTAGCCTTTCTGCTGAAAAGAGCATTATGTTCACAGACTTCAGTAGCTCAAACTGTAGTTTACACACAGTGATAGATCATTTATCCCCGTAACTCATCCCTTATCAGACCCCTCTGTCCTAAATGTCAAACTGGACCTCAAGATAGGCATCCACTGCTGTGCTATTTTACTAAATCATAGTACTATGGGAATCCTTTGCCATGCCTTTGTCAAAATTATAATTTAGGAAACAAAGGGTAAATCTTCATTCCCTGATACTCTGCACTAAGCTGCAACATGGATGATCTCTGGTTAAACTCTACATTAACAGAAAAAAGGGAAATGATGAGTGTATAAAGAGAGTTTACACATTAAAAAATAATAATATAT